GGGGGGGGGGGGGGGTGATCTGGCGGCTAAGGAAGCTGGGACGCAAACAGACGCAAGATTTTGACAGCGATTGCTGACAAGACAACCGCTACACAGGCAGCACACACACGAAAACCAACATCATCAGCTACACCCGGTACCAGCAGCATCAGCAAGAACGTGCGTGGGGTCGACCGACTGTTGCACGGGCATTTCACGTCGAGGGCTATCACGCTGAACGCGGGCGTACGTCTCTCAACGAAGAACAAAGAAGAACAAGAAACTCGCAGCCGTTGCGGTTGCGACACGAGACGCATCCTTGCCGTGATTTCCGGACAAAGAAAAGACAAGCAACAACAAAAAGATCGAACTATCTCTTTGACATGGCACACATGCACAACCTCATCCTGGAAAGCAGTACCCCCGTGACCACGGAAGGTGCCCCGCGTCAGCACAGGTGTTAGAAGGTACTGAGCGGAGACCGGGAGGGTTTTTTAACCTCAAGACAACAACAAGAGCAAAAAAAGCAACAACGACAACCCATGTTGGTCGGCCCCCTTGGTCTGTGGTTCTCACCTCATCCGGGGAGATGGCTTCGAGCAGGGACAACGGCCTGCCCGCCTGCAGCGCTCGGAGGCTAGCCTCCAACCTCTCCGCGATCGTCTCGAAGTCGATCTCGCTCTTTGAGCCGGGTGTTGCTCCTGCTCCTGCTGGAGCGGCTGAAGATGACGGGGCCCCGGGGCTGGTACTCTGGCCGTTGATGCCCGGGGGGGTGCCGCCCCCGCCGCCGCCGCCGCCGCCGCCGGTGCTCATCCCTCTCGTTGCTCCGTTGAGGTTGAGAGCAAACTCCGCGGACGTGAGTTCGTTTCGGACCTGGCGGGAGAGAGAAGCACAGCCGTCACGGGCCGTACCGATGAACGGCATATATAAGCGGCTCCCTATGTATCTATGTAGCGGTTTGTTGAACGCGATGGCCACGTCTAACTACGTCACTCACAGCAGTGTTTCGTGGGACGTTCGTTCACGGTTTCGTTTTCGTCCCTCGTGGTTATTCGTGGCATGTTTCGGCGGATACCACCGTTCGATTGGCTGATCAATTTAGCCATCCCGCCCCCAAAGAAACTGGAACGCTATTCCCAGGCACATGTGCGCGGTTATGTAACATACACAAACACACACACACACGAAGTTCGAACCGGTCGTCACGAAATTCCGATGGTGATATGGCCAAACCCCAGTGCAGTCGAACAACATGCCCCTCAAACACCGCACCTGCTTGACCCAGTTCACCGCCCGCAGCCGCTGCCCCCTCTCCGTCCTGTTAGCGGTAGCCAAGATAGCTTTCGTCCCCCCTGCCGCCTCCCCGGCTCCCGTCCCCCCCCCCCTTGCCGCCGCCACCCCGCCGCCCTGCCGCCCTTGCATCGCCTGCCCGAGCGCCATGGCGGGCCGACTTTTTTTTTTTTGGCACGGGCTTCACGCGCTTTT